GGAGATCTTTTTTAAACATTGGAACCTAATTTAATTTTATCTCTTAGAGAGTTTATAATGAGTATAAGATTTTATAAGCATAATAATTCATCTGTAAACCTAGAAATGTACAGCCAATTTTGAAAGAGATGTACCCTAGCTCAGAAAAATGTTATTGAATAGGTTAATGCTGTTGTAATGAAATGCTTCTTTTAATTAAAAAATTAAATTAAAAAAAAGAAGAGATATCCAAGCCAACAGATGTACAAATTACAGAGCAGCAGCACAAGGAACATGAAAAAGCAAAGCAGCATAACTCCTCCCAAAGATCATAACTCCTCAGCCACTGAGCTCAGAAATAAAATAAACAGAATGGTGGAAGATTTCAAAAGTTAATTACTCAAAAATATTAATGTGGGGCAAATGAGATGGCTCAGAAGGAAAAGGCATGTGCCACCAAGTCTGACTACCTGAGATCAATCCTTGCAACCCCTTGGTGGGAGAAGAGAACCGACTAGGACAGTTATCCTCTGACATCCACACACATGCCAAGACAGAAGTGTGTACACACACACACACACACTCACACAAATATATAAAAAATATAAAATTTTTCAATGCATATTTCAACTGAATTTTTGTGCATTTCATGCAACACATCTTGATCATATAGTTGTGGGGTGCTTCACCAGACACCGTTCAAAGTTTTGCTGAATGAAAGTCATTGCTGGCCAGGGCTACTACAAAAGGGTATCAGGAACCCAATTGTGTTGCCCTGAGCCATCTCTAGGGTAAACTTTTATACAGAAAAAAATTATAACCAGGGGTGAAAAGTTGAAGTTCCCAAGCTTAAAGGTAGAGAGTCCCCTTAACAATTTCTATTCTATTAAGCAACAATTACTATTTTGCAGAAGCAAGCCAACCATAACCTACAGAAGCCATAAATCTTCAGTTACCAGGTGCTCTCCAGGACATTTGACCTACAACCACGGTTCAGCTGACATATGTTCCATGGACTGTCTGATAATTTCAGGACTAGAGTCAGCCTAAACTTGAACGCGGCATAGCTATGGTCCAGAAAGAGCCCTATTACAATATTTTGGATCCCTCCCCCTTGTGCCCCTCCTATAAACCCCCTACCAGATTTCATGCATTTGGTCATATGTGTTAAGGCCTATCAAGTCAACTTTGTGTCCTCAGATATCCCTCCATGTGAATTCATCCACTGGAGTCTGGTCAGCATATGTAGCATCACTCCCTTAAAGAAGACCAACTCCTTCCTCACCCAGGAGTGATCAGCTGTCAATAGTGCCTTGGCTAAGGTTGGGGCTTCTTACCTAGTTCCCCATTTCCAAGCTGGGTTTTTGTCTGGTCTGAGTTTGCATGCTGTCAGCTTTGCTGTAAGTTCATATGAACAAGGTCCCAGAAGCCTGAAAAATTCTATTTCCTTGCAGTCATCCATCACCCCTGGCTCTTAGAATCTTTACTCGCTGCCCCCTTCCACAGTGTTCCCTGAGCCCTGGGTAGGTGAGGTTTAATAGGGAGTTCTATCCAGAGATGCACACTCTACATCCTCTTATTCTGTACATTTTTGGCCTGTTGTGACTTTCTGTGTTAATCACCCTCTGCTGCATGATGAAATTTCACAGGTGAGAGTTGAGAAATGCATTAATATTCTCTCTAACCCTTGTTCTATGATGTTCCATGAGTCTTAGGTGTAGTGGTTCCATTGTAGAGGTGTCACTTAGGGCTGGGCACCTCACAGACATTTATTCTGTGTTTGACCAATTGTGGAACTCTGTAATAGTCTCCCTATGTTGCAAAAACCTTTTGATGAGTAGTGAGAGGTATATCTGTCTGTAGGTATAAGGATACAGATACATATTTAGCATACAATAAGAAATTACATGTGTCTAGGGATGTAACAGACGTAGAGTTTCTCTAGGAACTATGACCTCTCAAGCCTTGTGTAGAAGAAGAAGAACAAGGAGGAGGAGCAGGAGGAGCAAAGAATATCAAGACAGGGTGGGTCTTGAAATGTAGGAGCTGGAAAAGGACCTAAAAGGACCTAAAGGAGCTGAAAAAGGACACACAGCTGCCCACCCAGGCCTCCCACCTCCTGCCTCCGGCCCTTTCAAAAAGTTGTATCTCTCTATAAGCCCATAATCAATCAATCAATCAATCATCAATCAATATGAAAAAACTAAATATTATAAAAGAATAAAGTACAAAATAATTTTTAAAATAAATCGAGAATA